CTAAACATTATTTAACGAAGGGCACTTAATTATCTTGGCTTTCTATCAAGTTCAGAAGAACATTAGGTTTAACAAGAGGATAGGTCGGAAGATGCCTCTTTGAGAGCACGATTATATTTCTAAGATGGGCAAAGTTCGTTCTAATGAAATCTGGGTCATTGTGCCCCTGTCACCGACTCCACTGCCTTTTACTATTGTGTAGAAAATTTTCCTGCTACTACACAAAGCAGCTCCGATTCATAGTCTAAATGAGCCCAATAGGGCGTAATTTTTGGAGTCATACAAAAGGGCAATAATATCAAAAGTAACGAGGGGGAACTTATCATTATTTAAAACTTTGAAAGAGTCACTTATTCATTCATTTCGTTTATTTCCATTTCCAATAAAATAAATAAAGTACATTGGATTGCATTGTACATAATAAAACAATAAAACTTAACAATATATATTTGTAATTGGTCCACAGTGTACAACAAGCATATAAAACAGGTTGGTCATGGAGGGGACTGATGAAAAGCTGGGCTTGTAGATTGCAGTCCCCTCATTGTACAATGGGGCACTTATGGGGCACTTATTGTGCAATGGGCATTCATAATAAGGGAATTAAGGGCACTTATCAGAAGGGAGACGGTACATATTAAAACGCAACAGAGATAACTGTAAAAGTAAAAGGAGCATTTCCCAGAACAAAAAAGGGGCATTGCTCATACCCAAAAAGTCATTTATCAGAGGCGAAAAAGGGTCTTTTATAAGGAAGGGAAAGGGACGCTTTTTACAAAATCGGGATAAGAGGCACTTTTCTTAGAATAAAAAGTGGCACTTGAGGCTTATTCTAAAGTATGGGGGCACTTTACCCCTAGCAGTTCCCCCCCCCCCCTCCCCCCTCTCACCGGGGCGACGCCTCTGCATTAGTGATTATTAAATTTAGAACATGGGGGCAATATATGGTTATGGCAAAATAATTATTGTTATGCAAGTTTATATCTCCAACCTATAACACGAGGCATCATCTTGTTATTTTCTTTCATTTGACACCTCATGAAATAATAAAATGAGGTTCTGTTAAAAATTCGTATTAAAAATCCTTTATTATTGGGTTAAATGGCGGCCATTTGTTATCAGTAGGTTGAGTTTGGGGGTAGTGAAGTACACTGAACACATTGATAACAACCTTTGAAAACATTCCATGCCTCAAAAACTTGATTAGCCCCCCCCCCCCCCCCCCCCCCCCCCCCCCCCGGGTAGATGAAAGGTTCCTTCAGCAAACCTGTTTGTAGAAGTTATCGCAAAGAGGACAGATACAAATATTGACGTAGAATGTGTTGTTTGGTTGTTATGACATATATGTTTATTTTACTTTGAAATCAAAAATGAAAATATTACTAATCAATAAACATAATGCTTTTAGGGAGATATAGGGGGAAACCATTTGTTTATTGCGACAGAATATCAAGCCCCGTTTACACTACAATTCCCCAAGTTGCGACGTTTACTAGCCGATTATACCCTGGCACACCAGTGAGAATAATACTAGATATATAAACAAAACATTATATTAACTGTAAAGCTTGGCCACACCACCAAACCCACTTCACATCCACTCCATAATACGGTCAACTCTTGGTTATTGGTGGTAATGTGATGCCTCAATCATACCAACGAGCCCGTTGGTATGACTTATCTAATAATGTTCATTATTACTTATGTGGTTTTTAAAAAAGCCAGAAAAGAGGGAGAGAGAGGAGGAAAAAAAAGAGGGATGGGGGGGGATGAAATTTGTGTGATAGACAAAAATAAATTTTGTTAGCCTTCAAAAGACAAGAACACAAGCCTTAGTATTATACGAAAAATATATATGGGAAAAGTTGGATATAAATAATTGTATGATCTTACTTTGATCTGCCTCTGATTTCTGAGGTACATCGCAGATGATAGCCAAGCAGACGAAAATAGCAAATGGTTTTTTCCAATTCATCCTAGAGAGTTACAAGTCTGTCAATTATTTCAGAATCCGTCCAATATCTCTTGTAGTTATCCTCGAAATTTAGCGTCTTTCTTCTTCTTCTTCTTCTTTTTCTTCTTCTCCTTTCGTTTGTGCTATGTTGATCGTCGCCTGTCTTTCTCTGATTGTCTTGTTGCTCAGCTTCCTGATTTCTCTTTTTTCAAGTTCTTTCCACTCACTAGTCCACAGCATGGAATGTTCTCACTGTGTACCGTTCTCAATTCGTTGCTTTACGGACGAGCGCGCCAGAATATCTACAAGAAAACTGCGCAAGCATACACATCCTGGTTAAATGATTATCTTGACAATAAATTCAATCCCTATACAAACAACCGCAAAGACAAACATACAAGATGTTACTGTATTACAGATTGGTCACGTACTTTGATTTTGATTTTTATCAAGAATTACAATGTAATTTCGTGTAAAAATATTCCAGTCAGAGAAGATAATTATGTTTTCTGCATTATCTACTTAATGATTTATTTCCACGGTGTGGATTTACGAGGTTAATGATGTCCAAAGATTGAAACGTAATAACAAGTGTTCGGATCAAACACCAATTATCATGATAACTGTATGATAAGCGAATGCATGTGGACTTTGCGTCATTATTTGAGGGAATGTCTATACGGATATCTGATGTAGAGATAGTAGTAGACTAGCCAATCATAATTGGAGGTAATACGTGGCATCGATGCTATAACCTTTGCAACAACACAAAAATAAGCAATAATGTGACGGTAGTAGCCGATGCAGTCAGGCGCGGATCCACGGAGGGGGTGGGGCGACGGACTCGAAACCCCCTTTGGACTATATATATATATATATATATATATAACTGAGTGCACTACCACCCCCCCCCCCCCCCTCCCCAACTACTAACCGAAAATGTCGATCTGCGCGATTTTCACATTTACTGGGGCAAAAACGAAAAATAAATTATGCTCACATTATGCATCACACTATTGTCAATACCGAGCAAAATGTTGGCAAAGATAATTATTACCCGTATCAAAGATGCTGTTGACCAAAGTCTCAGAAGGAAACAAGCAGGTTTTCAGAAGGGAAAAGGGTGCACTGACCAGATATTTGCACTACGTAATACCATAGAGCAATGTACAGAATGGCAGAGGAAACTTTATATTAGTTTTGTTGACTTTGAAAAAGCAATCGATAGCATCCACCGAAACAGCCTTTGGAGAATACTACGCAAATATGGGATACCAGTGCAACTAGTTCTTGTAATTTTCACATGACTAGTAGGAAAAAGTAACCATAAGTTCCAAGTGAAGACTGGAGATAGGCAAGGATGTGTCATGTCAGCACTGCTCTTCAATATCGCCATAGACTGGGTGATGAGGCAGGCAACTGAAGACCAAAAAAGAGGCATATTATATGGACCCTCTTTTCTATATTTGAGGACCTCGACTTTGCAGATGATCTCGCTCTATTTCCACACACCCACCAGCATATGCAAGAAAAAACATCCAGACTCAGTGATTTTGCCCAGAAAATTGGCTTGAAGATCAGCCAAAAGAAAACAGAGGTGATGACTCTGAAAATCTCAAACACTTTACCAATACAAGCAAACGGGGAAGACCTACCTATAACTGAGGAGTTAACTTACCTGGGCAGTACTGTCAGGCACGATGGAGGCGCAGGCAAAGACATTAAGAACCGTTTTAATAAAGTCAGAAATGCATTCAGAATACTCAACAATATATGGAGATCACAGCAGTACAGCATCAAGACCAAGCTAAAGTTGTATCAGAGCCGTGTGCTTTCCACTCTTCGGTACGGCTCTGAATGTTGGAGAATGACAAAATACGACCTCAATAAGCTGTCGGTCTTCCACACAAAGAGCCTGAGAAGAATATGTCGCATTTTCTGGCCGAACACCATTTCAAAAGAAGCACTGTATGCCCAATGCCATCAAGACATCATGGAGAACATCATCATGAGCAGAAGGTGGAGATGGATCGGACATGTAATGAAAAAGGACATAGATGACATCACACGAACAGCCCCAACTGGACACCAGAAGGCGATAGAAGGAGGGGACGTCCTTCAAACAATTGGAGAAGAACTTTGGAAGGGGAGAACCATCCAAAGACTGGCCCAGTATCGGAAGGAGTGGAAGACTTTTGTTGCTGCCCTATGTGCCAGGAGGTATAATGGGCAGTAAGTAAGTAAATAGGGGTCGATGCCATGCAAGTAGTAACTCGTATTACAAATATTTTTGCTCAAAATTTGAAAGTAGAAAACTAGGCTTTTTGATTTTTTGATCACAAAAGTATTATCTGATATTAAAAGGAATTTTAATTGATGTAATTTTTATCATGAGTTTGAGGTAATTAACCTTTTTAATAAACAATTGAAAGTGGAATACTACACAAGTAATTTTGTATGATGAAATGAATCATGAAACTGTGATTTACTTCGAATAAGGGGGTTATAAAAAACTACCTATATTTGAACATCAAAATAATACAACATAAATCTGACGACTGAAGCATTTTTCTTGATTCAACATATGACATATTTTGTCATGCCAGACATTATTTTAAAAAAGTCATTTTAAATTAACCTAAAAGAATTGATGTCTTTTTACGGGATGCGCATTTTGAGTGAAAAGCACACTGTACATGCCAGTTACGATGATGACGACGACGATGATAATAAAAAACATGGAGACTCTCCCTCCTCATTATCTGATTGTTTTTTCTTCTTTTTTTGTTCTCTCTATCTCTCTCTCTCTCTCCCTCACTCCTCTTTCTCTCTTATGACCTATTTCGCTATCAAACTGATGGCCACATGTCACCTCCAACAGCCGTTGTAAAAATATATATTTCTTTAGATTAATTCAAAAGAAGAACAAGACTACTTTAAATCAAATCAGCTAACTTCATTTTCGCCTTGACAAGATCGAAATATTTATTTATATGACAAGTCGACTGCTTAACCATGTAAATCTAATATTTATATTTTCCAAAATTGTATTACTAATGTAGATTAATTTTTACAACAAATTATGGAACAACTATATACATATAGAGTGAACATTCACAAAAGGACAAAATCATTGTAGGTTCCATTAACAAATTACTTTTTTTCAATCTTTTATCATGATAATACATTTAAAATTAAAGAACAAAACAATCGTTTGGCTTCAAAAGATTAACTATTTCATTGAACTAGCACGACTACTGTGTTTGTAAAGTTTTGCATTAAAATAAATTTGATTATTTTGTGTACATGTAATTGTATTCATCGTAATTTGCATGTGTAATGTGTGATTCCTGTCATCATTTTTGTGTATTCCTTTGATCCTTTCAACCATTCTTCCTTTGTGTAAATCTTCCGTCATATTATGACCTCTCCCTTTGTGTTACCCACATCTGATCAACCTATTGTGTTCTGTTTGTCTGTTTCTTTCTTTTCTCACCCACTCGCCCACTCGCCCACCCACCCACCGAACCAGACCAACGGAAGACATTTGTGTCTTAATTCAGGAATTACATATTGAATCTTCGCAAAAGTGAAGGCTATATATAATCCTTTTTTTTTTCATCGTTTTCCTTTTGAATGTTTTTCAGTTCCCAAGTGGTATGACATTATCTTCTTTTTTATTCCTTCAAATCTCAAATTAAAATTTAATCAATTAAAATAAAATGTGATATGATTAAATTACAATCAACTGTATTTTTTTCTTCTTTTTTGATCGAATATACAAACAGCAAAATTCATAAATCGGGAAAGAGATACCATATCTCAGGAGAAGTGTTTGCTCCTATATATGACGCATATAATTGTTTTAGTTCTTCTCAATATCTTAAATGTTATACGGAAATCAAAAGATAAGTAGGCCTCTGACAATTGTCAATGACGTTTACCTTATCTTAAAGACACACGTTGTAAACAAAAATTGTATAAAGCTTTTATGCCTTTATTCAGATTTCCATATACAAAATTATAAAGAAGAACTTAAATTTTGTTACATAAACATAGAACATTGTATCCTACATTATAAACACAGACATATTAAAAACTTTATTTTGTATAAGTATCCAAACTAATATAGTACAAAAGTACAGAAATTGTGATACAATTCTACAATTTGGGAGGAAAACAAAAAAAGAAGATTTTTCAATAAAGACAAAAGCTAAAGGTAATACTTCATATTAATATTTTCTGACACAACGTCATGAAAATTAATTTTTTTTTTTACAGTATAACTTCTATGCAAATTAATTAGTTCAATATTTAATTAAGCAATCTGAATCATTTGGGACCACTGTAAGAGGTGCAGCGCCATGCACCTCTTGGTAAGAAAACATGGAATGAGAGAGGAAACTAATCTCAAAAGGCTGAATTTAAACAGCGTGAGATAAAACCAGAATATAACAGCTTCAGTGGTAAACGAACCTACTGCATCTAAGAGTAGTTTATTGAGAGTCATGGTAAGATACTACCCTACAGCAACCACCGTTTAACAAAATTATGTTAACGACATAATTATAAAGTATGACATATATATTGGTTATGAATATGGTTATCATTTAGAATATATATTGACGAACACTGCGCCGTCTTTAATATCTAGTTCATATTGGCAGTTGAAATTGATTTAAATCATAAACTTAAAATACGGAGCTACACAAATAGCGTATAATAGTAAAGTGTATATGCTCCATATCAAAGCCATTTATGTCTGAGTAATAGCAACAAAACATATTCTGAGATTTGTTTTCTCCAAATAATGAAAAAATAAAAAGCCTACAAAAAGCGTCGATATGATTATCCACTTATGCATGCATTTGCAGAGATTACAAAACAGTGGCTTTGTCCTCACGCGTCGATCCACTCGTTGTACCGAAGTTCACTGCGAAGACTCAGCACTACAGATACAGAGGGGAAAAAAGAAAAAGAAAAACGCCATCAACATTAATTATGTTGCTTTGGCTCTCTTTTCTGCCCACCATCACTTTTCTGGTCTCTGGGCCTGGATCTCTCATTTATGATTATATTTCTATATTACTGTTATTATCAATACTATTGTTGTTATTATCCATTTTATTAGTATCAATATTTACATCATTATTATAATTATATTATTATTATTATCATTAATATTATTATTATTATAAAAAATTTTTAATTACTATTATCAATTGTCTTCTTCTTCTTCTTTAAAATGTTATTATTATCATTACTATAAGTATTATCATAAAAATAAATTTCATTATTGATAAACTTTTTCCAAATTGCTTCGAAACAGTTTAATTAAAAATTCAACTGCGTGACCCATACTCAACCTCATGTTTAAGAGAACTTTACTGGACGTAGGTAGGGTTTTCATGTACTTCAGCCTGGTCCATTGCAGGGTTCATCTTGCTATACAAGAAACAAATTCAAACAAAATAAATGAAGAGCGAAATGCAGTTTGAGGAGGGAATAAGAAAGTATTCATTATATTGACGATGGAATATACGAATGAACGGGATTGTGTGATGGTGTCAGATGAGGCTTGTGATAGTTGTACGACACTCGTTCCGAGTGACCATTTGTATCCTTTGCGGTAATTGTCCTACGAATTTCTAGCCTTAACACTGGAACCCAACACTATAGCTAAACTTAACGCTAATCCTAAGCCTAACCTACACGCGGATTACAACTCTTATCCTTACCCCAACATTTTGAGGAAATGGAGCAAGGAATAATTGTCAGCGTGACGAGTGTCGGAGCACCCTCTCGACACCTTATGCAAGAAATGACTTACAGGTGAAGACCCATATCTGTTAAACGATCAGTATGGCAAAGACTTGTGGAGAAAAAAAAAATCTATTTTAGACAGTATCAATATATCCATATCGATCAACTATTAACACGTGCAAAAATGACACTTAATTTCATGATAACCGTACTTGTCTATGTGCCTTTTGCGCCAACAAAATAAATGCAGCATACCTAATGGACGGTGGACGTTTCTTTGGTCCGCAGATCTGAACGACGATAAGCACGATCACGACGATAAGAATTACCGATCCAAAAGATATTCCGATGATTGCGGGCGTCGAAAGAACTGTAGGGAAAGAGGAAATACTTAATATTGACGTTAAAAATTGATACATTGATACACTAAATGCAATTAAGCAGATACAATAAAGAGTAGCTAAGCCTGATTTAGCCAAACGGATTTTTATAATCATGACATTTTTTTATTTGATCTGTAAGGCTATCTTGTAGATGACAAAGATTAAGGTATTTTGTTTTATTAAGCGGGATAAGAAATTTCTTTCATCTAGTAGACAGAATCGAATACCTAAATTCTAACATTTAAACAAATATGTAAGGGTACATTTGACATTGCCCTCACTAAATTCTCACCTTGACCAGTTGGCGTCCTTGCAGTCTTGAAAGTTTCCGTAACATGCCCCTTTGTTACGTCAGAGGTCATAGGGATTGTCTGCCCGGATGCCTCAATGATGCACGCCGGGGTATCGCCATCACTCCACGTACCACCTGATTGGCAGGTTAAGTTGACCACGTGACTTAGTACGAAGCCAGCATCGCACACGAATCTGGCCACGCCCCCTGACATGTAGGTCGTCACGATGGCACTTCCGTTAGCAGGAGCGGGAAGAGTTGGGCAACTCACTGAAGATATGAACAGAATATGAACAAAGGAAATACAGGTACGAAACAGTATAGCCTGCCATGAGGCTACATGCACGCTACCGTTAAAGTACTTTGTATATGCGCTGTCATTTGCATGTTTGCACGCATTCATAATAGCAGTTACTGTTTATGCTCATTGTAGTGTGCTGTGTGTTTCGCAAGCGCTTGCCATAGATCCATCGCGTTAATCAGATTATCTCAAAAAAAACCTGGCATGGGGGAATTGGGGCTTGGCACAATGGGGATAAGCCCTGTGGCATGAACATTCAGTGTAAGTTTCGTTTGATTTTGTGAGAAATCATTTTCCTTTTTTTTTTTTACCAGAACTCACCTTTATCTTTGAAAGCCCGTTACAGACATGGTGTTATTTTGCTGACCAAAGACAGCGTCAGTGACTCGCGAGATCTTTGACATGCCATGTGAGAGTGAAATCAAAACCAACATGAATGCGAAATGAAAATTTTAAACGCTGCCTTGAATTACTGGTGAATGGCTGTTTACTTCCTAAGTTATAGTGCAGGTAATAACGAAAATGACATGACGCCTCTTGCGCAACGCGGGCAAAACAGAGAGGCGCATTCTTGCGCTAGTTCATCATAACCTTGCGTAAAGAAGTTGCGTCCGTGTCTACAGGCTCTATCGCGTTATGTTGATACTACATGAATGTGATTGGTTCAATAGAATGAAGTTTTGTTAGCAACAGGTTTGAAATTGTAAAATATACCGAACGATGCTCTGTTGTCGACCGCCTGCTGATACTGCACGAGTGCCTCCACGGAATTCTGGGCAAAACTCTGCGACCCCGTTGTCTGGTAGTCGAAGATACAGAACGGGTTCCCACCGCAGACCTCTACCACTAAGCTTTGGTTTACAGAAGGGTTGGCGACAGGCTCAAAGACAGGAGTGTAATTGCGGTTGGTATGAGATTCGTGGTCCGTGCCCAGTTCGTAGTAGAACAACGATTCTGCTGCATCGATTTCCCCTGTAAGAGAGTGACCAACAATGCATACATGTATTTCTTTGTAACGCACATGAGTGTTCAAGATCAGAAGCAACGACGCTATGGAGGATATCTAAAGAATCCTGTTATACTTTGGGAGGGGATGGCCTCTTCGATACCCGAGGTTAAGGAGAAGGCTGAGTTGTAATGAATAATGTATTAAATGAATAATCTATGAAGTTTGTTGTTGTTGTTGTAATGGAAGTTTGAAAGAATATGTTGCACTATGTTGCACTAAAAAATGATTGCTTGTCAAATGCTCTCATTCGACATATGACAAGAACTTCCGAGCAAACATTTATGTAAAATGTGTGTTTAGTATCCAAAACCATTATGTGTGTGCAGTGCATGTTATGTCAGCAAGATTGAGTCGATTTTTTTTGTAATTTTGATTATCATAAAAACCTCATAGCGGACTCCAATACCTCTATCTCTATCAATAGTACTTAATAAACTTTGCAAAATAAATGAATTCATACAAAATGTATTACGCCGGATGACCAGATTTCAACCATATCTTGAATACCTCACATTTGTTCACTCTCTGTTATTAGGGGCTTTTCGTTTGTGTGGACGAGGACGGCGTTCACGTCCTCTAACGATGCGAATTGGCGTCAGACACCCGTCCTGTTCACTACCTTATAACCCTTTTCGTTTTAAGTCGACCCCCGTTCTCTACACGATGACGTAATGGCCCCCGCACGCGCTTATTCAATTTCTCCTTCTTTCACTTCTTATTTTGTTCTTCGTTAATTATTCTATTATACTCTCTCTATTTTCCTTATGTTATTCTTTGTTTTTCCTTCTTTCATCTTCTCTTCTATCTTTCCATTGTCTATTCTTAATCATTTTCTCTTTCTGTCTTTCCTAATGTTATTGTTGTTGTTATCATTCTATCATTTTTCTTTCTATCTTTCCTCATATTATTCTTTGTTTCTTCCTTCTATCATCTTCTCTTATGTTATTCTTTGTTTTTATCATTCTATCACTTTCTCTTTTTGTATTTCCTTATGTAATTCTTCTTTTTTTTCCTTCTTTCACCTTCTCTTTCTGTCTTTCCTTATGTTTTTCTTTGTTTTTTCCTTCTTTTACCTTCTCTTTCTGTCTTTCCTTATGTTATTCTTTGTTTTTTCCTTCTTTCACTTTCTCTTCAGTCTTTCCTTATGTTATTCTTTGTGTTTTCCTTCTTTCACCTTCTCTTTCTGTCTTTCCTTATGTTATTCTTTGTGTTTTCCTTCTTTCACCTTCTCTTTCTGTCTTTCCTTATGTTATTCTTTGTTTTTTCCTTCTTTCACCTTCTCTTTCTGTCTTTCCTCATGTTATTCTTCGTTTCTTCCTTTTTTTTCATCTTCTCTTATGTTATTCTTTGTTTTTATCTTTCTATCACTTTCTCTTTTTGTATTTCCTTATGTTATTCTTTGTTTTTTCCTTCTTTCACCTTCTCTTTCTGTCTTTCCTTATGTTATACTTTGTTTTGTCCTTCTTTCACCTTTTCTTTCTGTCTTTCCTCATGTTATTCTTTGTTTTTTCCTTCCTTCACTTTCTCTTTCTGTCTTTCCTTATGTTATTCTTTGTTTTTTCCTTCCTTCACTTTCTCTTTCTGTTTTTCCTTATGCTATTCTTTGTTTTTTCCTTCTTCACTTTCTCTTTTTGTATTTCCTTATGTTATTCTTTGTTTTTTCCCTTCTTTCACCTTCTTTTTCTGTCTTTTTTATGTTATTCTTTGTTTCTTCCTTCTTTCAACTTAATTCTCTTATGTTATTCTTTGTTTTTATCATTCTATTACTTTCTCTTTCTGTCTTTCCTTATGTTAGTCTTTGTTTTTTCCTTCTATTGTCTTCTCTTATGTTATTCTTTGTTTTTATCATTCTATCACTTTCTCTTTCAGTCTTTCCTTATGTTAGTCTTTGTTTCTTCCTTCTATCACCTTTTTTAAAAATGTTATTCTTTGTTTTTTTAATCATTCTATCCCTTTCTCTTTCTGTTTTTACTTTCTGATTTACGCTGCGATGTAGCAAGATGACGTCATTCTGACGACGGGTCACTAGTTTTCTGACGAACCTCAAATCATCGATGAACGGGTTCGCAAATGTGGCCTGACGACGCCAGACGACCCGACGCATGCGCAGATCGCCGAAATGACGTCTTATATTTGACGTCGACTATGTCGACGTGACAAACGAAAAACCCCTACTATTCTACCTAGGACGGGAAAATTGAGTCAAGGTAATGAAGATTATAGACGAATGACTTTCAGACGTCGCAGCAAATAGAGCCTATTTCTGTTTAGGTGAATTATAATTAGTGTCAATAATGCATGTACTTCGAAATCAAGTGAATGAAAGATAAGTATGAACAATATTAACATACAGTGAGAGAAAAGTGTTGAGGAGAAAAAATTGTAATCTTACACAGTAATCCAAATTGGTAATGCAACTGCTCAGTAGTCAAATTAGGTGAGAGGAAAGATCCTTGAGGAGTTAAGAAATCGTCGCTGGGATTGCCATTCCACGTTCCCATCAGGCCTTGCGTCTGACCCCGGAAGGAATCTGGAGCTACAAGAAGAATGCTCATTGCCCCCTCTGATGCTTTTAGATTCAGCCCTACCCCTCCGTCGAAAGCTACAATTATTCCATCTGAGGTAATGTTGCGACCAGTTACCGAGACCCCTAAGAAATTGAATAGAAGCAAACAGATTGGTACAAAAGAACTCAACGATTCATGTTATTGATTAACTTATTGTAAACATCAAACAATCGGTATTAAAAGAAAATATGAATAAATGAAGTATCTGAAATAATTTAGTTCTGCTCACTAGAAATGTTCGGTTCTCGTATACCGCATATCACATTAAACATCGTCTCTATGCGTTTCCTGAGAGCTTTGAAAGATTATTACCTGTGGCTTGTGGAAAAAAAGGGATCCCTATGAAAGCTTGGAGATTCTTGGTTCGAAACTACATCAGAATTGACAATGGTGCAATACTCCTCGATACCAAGTTACTCGAAAAGTGTAAGTCTTTCAACTTTTGAACTGACCAAGGTCTCCTGGTCACCTTCCCACTACTGCTAATAAATTGCATTATTAGCATCTTCTCGATAAGAAGAAGAGGAACAAATTTGAATGATAAATAAATAAATTAATATAATTCTTACCGCATAACAGAAATACTAATACAAAAAATTAGTCGATAGACGTGATATGCTCCAAGAAATGTGAGCAATATAGAATAACATTGTGTTTTTAATTTCTGATACCTGAATATGACCACCGAGAAGCCTGATCGAAATCAATCCTTGTGAAGTTTTGTCCATCCTCGGCTAGTCGGACATAGGCATCAAGAACCCTGCGCTCATTGGTTTGAACATGAATGACATCACTATCGCCAAATCGTGCTGCCATGGCAACAAACACCGTTGCATCGGACGTTCCTGCGACGGAAGGTGCAGTAAGAAATACATTTTGATACGATAATTTCTTCCACTAACAAATAACATATTATATTTTCCTATAGAATGAACAAATGTGAAAGTGTCAGATATTACAGACAAAACACCCTGACTACTCTATTCACTATGAACAGGATGAATGATCTAGCGTTAGGTTCATCATTGGGCATAGACAGCAGTGTTTCCCCTCTTAGAAAGAATATGGTTAACTAGATGGATCTTCGACTGCGTGCAGCCGAAAATGATGCCCCCGCCATAGATAGATTTTACAAACCAAATCAGACGCAATTACAAAATTCAAGTTTGATTGTAATCCATTAGCAGGTTCTCAGAATATCGTGCCTATTTTGTATATACACGTATGACCCTTTGATCTTAGACCTCAAAATGATCCTGAATTGCCTCAAAAAGGTGCTAAGTTTTGGGAAATATTGACAATTGGGTGGATAGTAATTCTTAAAAAGGTTGATATATTATAAGCATTAGACAATTTAGCCCCTATAACACTTCTGCTTTCGAGGAATTATATAATCAAAATTCACCGGTGCTCCCGGTAAATTTAAAATATTTCAAATAGCGCCTAAGGCCATTCCATGGCAGCTGCGACCATGAAAATCTCAGAATATGCAGTTCTGATATATAATTTCCAAAAAGGAATAGCAAATCGATTGTAGTCAAGCAAAATTTGTTTTAAAGCTTAAGTAATATCAGTCTTGAGAGGGAGCTATACAACATAACGAGTTTATCATTTACAATTTAATCACTTTAGACTCGATTTCAACCGCGACAACGATCATTGAATGTTGTAAAATCGCATATGCTTCCAATATCTTCATTTGAACCAAATTCATGAACCCATACCAAAACTTGGTATTACCTTTAAATGCCCCTTTCACATAGGTTTGTAGAAAAAAGACATTTAGAAGCTCAGGTCAATTTCAAGAACTCTTTTAAAACCAATTCACGATGAGAAGATATAATAACTTAATTCTTGTTGCAAAAGTTCCTGTCAATAAAACCGTATAAAGACTATCAGGATTTTTATTGTATCTGAGTAAACTCGCAAACGGATGTAAAATCGGATAGACATCGACGTGACAATAAATGTTAACTGAAGACTGAGCTAAAACAATAAATGGAAGATGATTTTACCAACGAGAGGAGCCGCTCTTGCTTGTAAGATAAAGATGTCATTCAGCGCGTTCAGCATAGTAAATTCACCGTGACCGTTGAACGTGTACGTGGTCGAGTCAAGAGTTGAAATATGTGGATCGCCATTGCCCAATGCTATGTTGTGACAAAGATAGAGAGAAAGAGTGAAAGAAGGAGAAAACTAAATTTAGTAAATGATATTATACGGGAAAGGATCTGGGGATTGTTGTGCTCTTAAAGAGAAGGTTGGGTTCTGGAAAACTGTGAGGGGGAGCGCTTATATGAGTGTGTGCGCGTGAGTGCGTGAGTAGATACACTACTCGAACCATTTGTCAACAATGTTTTGAATTTCATTGTTTGCCTTTGTCGGCTAAAAAAAAATTAAAAATTGATTATTTTGTTCGGATTGTTAATATAATAACTTACGGCTCCTTCAGACATGAAGAGGTAAAACGAGGCGTTTTTTAATGACGTAAAGTATGATACGCTTCATATGTCTGTATCTTATACAACACCAAGCAAAGAGAATACACGTAGGACCTTTTTCATGTTTGTTGCGCGCAGTTGCCATTTATTTACACGTCACAATTAAAAACTGCGACGGATTGCCGCGTCTCATCTAAACAAGTCTATATGGTTGCACATATTTGTCATCCTGTTGATATGGAGAAGTTATTTAGGTCCAATTAGCTTTCAAAAATTTGATTTAACAGGAATACCTGGAGGAGGCGGTACATAGTTGTTGCAAGTTTGAGAAGGCCGTAGTAATCCAAAAAATGTACACTCGGAATGCTGGGGTCCACCATAAGAACAGCAGTATGTCCAGGGCAAGATGTCGACGAGGAAGTGCGACAGATATGGAACCTGAATAATTGATGGAACTCATAATTTATGATATTATTCATAACTTTCACAGTAAAGCGAACGAGTATAGCGTCAAATAAACAAAAGCAATGTTATTAAGATGAACGTTAGTTCAGGTAATTTCTCATTTTATATAATCACTGTAAACCATAGTAAAAAAAAAAGAGACTAACTCACAGTCGCTCTTTGATGTAGACTTAGCAGTTATTTGAATTTAGTATTTAACCAAATACTCACTGACTTACATTTGGTCGATATTTTCTTGTCTATTGTTTTGCAAATAGTTCATATATACTGTTTTCTATTGTCGAAAGAGGCCACACAACTTTGCAATAAATTAGTGTTAGCATATATACATAAACATATATACACACTGTTTTCCATAAAGTTGGAATACATTTTCGTCTACCCTTTTTATACAATGATTGTGACAGCATGATGTATTCTTGATAGACACAAATTATATTATCTCGTAACCGTATTGATTAATCTAAAGAGTCGTACAGAGTGATCTATATAGTTTTGGGAAGATATATACCTTTTCTATGATACTGTCACAATCATTTCATCAAAAGCGGTAAAGAAAAATTATTCCAAATTTATAGGCAATAGCGTATTTATATACAAATGGGCGTGCGTGTGCGTGCGTGTTGTGAGTGGTTGACTTGTTTCTCCTTAACCTTATATACCCCTCTCTTTTTGTTCTACTATCTGTTTGATAAAGATTTCGCCAAATACATAACACTATGAAACGGATCATACCTTCTGAGGTTCCCCATATGGGTTGACGCCCCCATGGTGGTATCGATGACTGTAGCCCCCTCCCAGACTATTAAAGACATTGATAATCATTCCATCAAAACCATAGCAACACTCTTGTCCCCCTCCTAGTTGGCTGGAAAAAAAAGGAGACGTTGGTGTTTAACAAAAAAAGTATATCCATATGTGTATATACACATAAACATAAACGGTAACGATGTATCTGGTAAAAGGCTTTATAAGAATCGTAATTGGAATCGTAATGATTAATATCAATATAGTTGGCAGAAGCTAACTATTTTACATTTATAAAGGGCAATCCTACCTTTGTAATTTTAATTTAATGAAAGAAACAGAGTGGTGAAAGTTTGAAATAAATCGGATAAATCATAAAAAAGTTATGAATGTTTGAAATATGAGATCACTACAGCTTGGCGAATCTCAGGTTTGCTATGTATTGGATTGAAATATCACTAATTTCTGTTTTTCTCCCAAGTGCCTTCACCCTTCGGGCACAACTAAAAATACACTATGGAGAGTATATTATTAAATGTCCTTATACAGAAGGGGCTATCTCGAGTCATACATTTCGGAAAATTAACATTTGAGTAATTTTGTGTGTTGAAACCAACTGGAAAGTTATCCTACACTACATCACAAAGACTTTACCGATTTAGCCAATTTGAAGAGCCCATACCTATAGTGATGGCAACTTTTCAAAATTGATACCTTTTCTAATTGTTGACCGATTTCATTTTAACTTTCGAAAGTAGTATGCTAGCAAGTTTGGATTTCCCTTTAATAATTACAACGAAATACCTTGGTGTATTTGCTCGTACGCAGTGCATCGCCCCAGGTTTATGGATGCAGTTGCTAGGCGACGAGATGTCAATATCACACAGCGGATGCGGACTGAACCTTCCTATGTCGATCTGGGCCTGGTCAAGTGTACATGGGCACGGGGGCGTGACGTATAGAAAGTAGAATTCAGACCGAACTTCTTTTCCGATCCAATCATGGCACCAAAATGTTACGTCATCGCCATTAAACCACTGTAGAACATGGACCCTGCTCCAGAGGGCAGCCCGACTAGAACTAGAAGAACCCGAGAAAAAAATGAATAGGGGAACCAAGAAAATACGTTTAAAAATTGTTTATAACCCACAAAGCAATAATTCTGCGACACGTCTGGTCTAGTATAAGGTCACATGACAAATAAAAAAATTGCATATTCTTGGCATTCGTAGTGATAAGCATGTTATGGGCTACATCGTCTTCCCTCGCCTTCAGCTCGGGAAGACGGTAGCCTCGAGATTACCTATGCAACAATAGTCGGTCAGAGTCCAACGAATCTACGAACTTGATATAAATTATTTCTAACGATATATGATCTCAAACTACATTTTTAGTACAAGATATCAAATTTGATTTAATTCTTACTCTCCTCCTTGACCTTCAGATTCCATGACCCCAATAACACCGACGTCGTAATGAATGTCAAGGTCTGGTAACCCTGAGACACTGTGGTGACCGAGATGATAGTCAATTCCAAGTGCCACTACAACCAAAGGTCCACTAAACTCCACGTCATTGTCTTCTCGGTAGCCGTAGACAACGATGTCAACCTCGTCTACGCTTTCGAAGGCATATGTGTTCCACGTGATTTCGAAGTAAGACTCTCTTTGGTTGCTCTCCATAACCGAAGCAAATACATTGTCAGGAACGTCCTCGACACTGACTAATAGGCAAATCAGAAAAATTCATCGTCTAGATAATCTGGACGTCATAAATAAGGGTTCGTCGACATCCTTTTGAAACGCTATTATTATAATAACCCCGCGTTTCAATGGGATGCCGGCGAACGTGTATTTGTGATAGTTTCGTCAAACGATGCTCAGGTATAACCATGATAACGAAGCTATTATCTTTCAGATTTATGCGTAAGTCCAGTGTCAACCTCCTATTAAAGGGCATTATTTAAGGACTTCAAGCTCGATGTTTATGTTTTAACTCTTCTGTATTATTACTTGCAATTAAATAATTATGAACAAATTGTAATCCACTTTGTATGTTGCTTAAGTATATTAAGATTTTTTTTCTCGAGAAAGATGAAGAAAATGAAGAATGAACTGAAGTCAAACAATTACAAGTTGTTTATTGGTTGGAAGTATTTGGTTGGAAGTTAAAGAAGATTCGGAGCATTAACATATCATTAATTTATGAATAGCTTAACTTTTTAAAGAGCTTCCGGATAAATATTTTGATAGGCAAACCTGCAATCTAAGCCAACGATTCTGATCTGATCACAAAATAAGGTGGAAATGTTAGAGGTTTTTTTTTTATTTATTTTTTTTAACAATAAATAGAAGACGATGTTTATTTGAACGTACTGATTGTGAACAATCCAGTGAAATCAAACGTGACTCCATCGTCTAGAGACACTCTCAAGGGAATCCGTCCAATTTTGTAGAAAGTCGGCGAAACACAGAGTGCGATCTTGTCGGACAGAAGTCTTCCAGAAGTCTCGAATCCGTCGAAATCACAGATAATCAGGCTGGTTGCGTTGAAGCACGGTCCGTTGATTAGAACTTGAGTTCCACCAAGCATTGAACCAACCAATGGGAACAGTGAAATCGAGCCTGTTAAGATGAAAACAACCTGTGGTCACTGAAGTGGAATACACATGGACGTGTCATACGAATATTACGGGCTCCGGTGCTCATACGTACTAGGTTATCTCTCGTAATACATTTAAAAAGCTCATGCGGGTGGATAGAGAAAGACACACACATACACACGTACGTGCGCGCGCTCGTACCCCACCCACGCACACTCCCTCGTCTGCCATGTTTTGAATCATATATAAAGAGATGACAGATTTGTTTTCATCTTCTATTTGACCGAAGCCAAGTGTCTCATTTTCACCCATTTATGATATATTATATTAGTTTCATTTTACAAAAAGAAGACGAAGAAGTAGTTCAAGATACAATGAATATATCAAAGGAAGAACGACATGTTGATATCAAAATAAAGGAAACCCAGGAACCACAACTAACAGTTTATGTTTGTGTGTTGTAGAACTGTCCGATAGGAAAAAAACAAGTGAGTTCATGGAAAGGCAGGGTGAGGATGAAACTGTGTTGGAAGTGGAAAAAAGAAGTGGATTGAGAAGGATGGGTGTTGAGAAGAGAAGATGAACTTGTTAAAGAGTGTGGGATCTGGAAGAGGGTGGCATAAGTGGGAAAAGAAGACCAACGATTTCATGGAAAGATATTTGTAAAGAAAGATAGCAGTAAAGTTGGTCAAAATTGGGAGGATGCTCAAGATTAAGACAAGATTAAGAGGGGATAAGGAGTGTCATCATGACCTGGAAGTCAGTAAGAGGGAAAATGCTGAAAATGGTCATGATGATTACGTCAGTAATAGCAAGAATTGTGTTGATTGTTTACACACCGGAGGTTGTACATTCTAGTCCTTCGATGTTGGAGTTGTCTGTCCTGAACACCCATCTTCCAGGTACACCGATGTTCGATGTCGTTTCGATATCGACGACGGCCGCTGTCCGAGATCCAGGGGCACTGTAAAAGATCACTCCATCACCAGCGTTGAATCCAACCTAAGAGCCAAGCAAGTGAACTTTGAAGCAATATTCCCAAATAAACCTTGAAAGGGGTCTGAGTAATGTTTTTATTCGTCTTTTGGGGGCAGTACGGTCCGGTGTTGGTGTGTCTCAAAAGAAAAGAGTGAAAATCGTCAGAGTTGTTATTTCTTTCTATTAGTTAATGAGAAACTCAATTTACATACTTCTGACTTCTCTCATATGTTTTTTGATTGGTCCCCAAGTTAAAGAATAAAACAATATATGTCTATTCTCTTTACATGCTGCATATATCATTCAAACGGGTTTTAGATTCCAGCAGTGCATCATTACATGCACTGAATCTTTAAGCCTTAAGTTATAGGACAGAACATTTCATTTCAGCTTCTTGAAGACCAACATCATGTCACCAAACTGACCACAAATTCTCTTACACCAAATGTTGGAGAATTAGTCTGTCTGCACTCGACTGAGGTATTATTTCATAAATGGGAGGGGCTACTGTAATACATGAGCTCGTTACCGTATATATAGGCGTGTACCCTTTTTATAAGAAGAGGAAGCTACGAACCAAATGATTTAATGATTAACCTGAGCGGGGGTTCCACCAAGACCAGTACCACTATCACCACCACTGGCAGCTCCTGTTGTCCAGTTGATATCACCGTAATTAAAGATGGCGAAGGAATATCGACCATCTGTCACCATCACAGCTTGAAATGAATTCCTCTGATTTAGAAGAAAAATATCAAAACTATCAAAATCTATATCTTTATATGAATATGAAATGATTTTTGATGAAACCAAAAGGGGTAGCACGGCAGGATAGTGAATGAAATGCTTCTCAACTTTCAGTTTTAAATGTTAGTGAAAGAAAAAGACGGACCGCAGTATATACAAAAAAGTTCCTAAAAGTAAAATAAGAAATAACAAAAAAAATGGCAAAAACATAGATTGCTTGATGGGGGGAAATGAATATTTAGTCTTATAATTTGTTTACACATTTTCAAAGGTTTGCATGGCCAGCATGATTTCTAAAAGGTTTGACTTGGGTGTAATACCTGTAATCCATTTGTCGCGTATACAAATTGGCCGACAGGACAAATGCCCTCTAGTACTTGCAAGACTCTGTAGATTGCCAGGGATTTTGTGGATTCTTGTGGAAAGCCGTCAGGAGATTTTTCAAAAATCATATCACGCTATCATGAAACAGTACCTGATCATCAAGTTGGTGACAGATGATAAATGAGTAGGTCCAGCGGCGAACAATAGATTAAACCAGTGTACTTACGATGGAGGTATCAGAAGCACCGAAGAAAGCCACGCTGTCCCAGGTCGTTATGTACATCCATGACGACACAAAGTCTCTCATGTCAACAAATGATGCTCTTATAATATCATCAGCTTCGAGGAATATAGCGTCGTTCTGGGCGAATCGTAAGACTTGTCGATAGGATAGAGTCCCACCATTAGTCGTGTCGATATCAGCCCAGAATGGGGTCAAAAGACGTCGGCCATCATCGAGTGGAAACGGATCGGGGGTAAATTGCGAAACACTCACCAAGAACGAGATGACACCGTTATTGTTGACCTGCATCAACGTTTATAGAAAAGCGATTGGTAGTACATGTTAGTGACAATGAAGGGAATATCATAAACACGGGTTCAACACAGATAGGGAGAAAGATATAGAAGACGGTGGTAACTATCAACTTAGATTATTCATGTCGAAAGTTGAAAATAAAACGAACCAGTATAATTTGTAGGAAAAGAGACAATTAATTAGTGCATACAGATACACACACACACACACTTAGAGAAAGAGAGGGAAAAGATGTTAGAGAGAATGAGTAGGAGAGAAAGAGAGAGAGAGGGAGAGGTAGAGAGTGAGGGAGGGGAGAAGGAGTTAGCAACTATACCAATAACCTTCGACTGCCCTAAGCAGTTACAATCTCGGGAAATCTTGAATTTGAAATATGCTTGGATCAAGAAAATCAAAAAAGGTAAAGTTTAATATATTTCATGGTACATCAATTGTTATAACATGATTAATACAAAGTTACCATAACAAACTCTCCCAGTAAATTTCGGAACTGTGCCAATACAACCAATTTAGGGGCGGAGAGTCACGCACAAGACTAATCTTTATTGTATCAAATGTTTTTCATTGCTATTTTAATAACTTCATAAAGTAACAAAAAGTACATCCTGATTTTATTGAGCGACATGAAAATGATGAACACGTAAATCATAAATGTAAACATGTAGATAAAACATAAGCACTTGATGATACTTTAATACTCTCTAGACTTCGAATGACGTCCACCATTAGCAGACTACCTCCCCCAACCCTAAACAAGTATGGTTATTTTTTATTTTAATAAACATTAGGAGTAAATGTTGAGACATCTTATCTAATGTAGGTGTAAGAGGTTAAGAAATTGGGAAACATGAAAAATATTTACAAGGTTTTCATTTAGCCTACAATGTTGATAGTGCGTCACGTATGACAATGGAACGAAATATGTCAAAATCACTTCATTATCAGGGGAAAAACTAGTAAAGCGTAAATAAACACATCCGTAATAATTAGAAAATGAACAAGTTACAAATTCGACTGCCCATTCGCGAATTTGAATTTTACCTTTCAGCAATTGCCAAAGAATTAGAATGAATGTTAGCATGACCGCTGGACGGAATGAATTTGAAAAATAAAAATACAAATTCCAGTGCCCTCTACTATAAAATTGATGACTGAAATACATTTTGAAAGACAGTCCCCGACGAAAATGTTTTTGCGCTAAATTCAACGAACGTTTTTATCACATGTACTGAAACAGCTGTGGGATCGGCCGGAAAAACCTTTATCGTACAAAAGTGTAGAATAAAAAATCTTTTCTAAGAGGCCAGTTCATCATTTAAATTTTAATGGGTACGACTGTCATGTTTAAACAAAATAAATTGGCTTGAACTACGAGGGACTTACAAAAATACTGGTATGGTCGTGATCGAAGAAAGGGAAGACGACTGCGATTGGTAGCTCGTCTGTGGAACCGTCATCGTTGGCGGGTAAAAATTCGTCCCCTTCATTCAATCCAAATGGGAAGAACAGAGCTGAAGGAGGAGGTGTC